CATATATATTTATAGGCAAATGGGGGGATTTTTTTTCTTTTTTTCCTTTTTATTTATTTTTTACTGTGGGACCTTTTCACGTGAGAAACAGCGAGAAAAAAAATGCCTTTTTTAGAAGATGCTGCGCCCAGGTGAGCAAGTCAAATCCTGCGGATAAACAAAGAAAACAGCTACTGTACACACACAAGGGTGAAGCTCTGTTCACACATGTATTCTCTCTCACACACACACACACACATTTAAAAAGCAAACACACGATGCTTATCTGGCTGGTTCTACTTCTGGAAGCAAGTTTTCTGACAAGTTGGCACAATACATCAAACAAATAAATACATACATTTAATATACATTACATACAAGAAAAAAAATAACCAACACAAACCTTCTATTTATTATTGAACTGCTGAGTGCATCACAGAAATTACTGAATTTGTTTGCGGGAGATGTTTTCAAGAGTTTTTTTTTTTCTTCTTCTTCTTTCTCGTTTAAGCAAGAAATAATTTAAACACCTTTTTTTTCATATTTTCCTCTCCTTTCCCCCTAAATTCTAAACAGAACTGTACATGATCATTTTTTTAAACTCACATAAGCATTAACACGGTGAGAATATAAAGGAAATTATACATAATCCTGCTGCAGAACCCTGCGTCAACAGTCTCTGCGCTTTTTTCACTTGGAATAAGAGAAATATTTCATCTCTTCTTTTAATTATTAGATTTTTTTTCTTTTTTGTTTCTTTTTTTATTATTTTTTCGTGCTTGTCAGGAGAGGTGTGAGCATCAAGGCCTGTAAAGTCCCCCTCCTGCGGCTGCCATGCTCATGCTTTTCAGCTTGTTGTCCTTCTTCCACTTCATCCGCCGGTTCTGGAACCAGATCTTGATCTGTCTCTCTGAGAGGCAGAGGGCGTGGGCGATCTCGATCCTCCGCCTGCGGGTCAGGTACCGGTTGAAGTGGAACTCCTTCTCCAGCTCTAGGGTCTGGTACCGGGTGTACGCGGTTCTGGCTCGCTTCCCCTCAGGTCCAGACAGATCTTGGACGAAAAAAAAAAAAGACGCAAAGGAGGACAAATCAAATTAACAAGATGTGGGCAATCATATTGGAGATAAATACATGAAAAAATTGATGTTGGAGTCACCTTAAGCACATTTCTGCACATGATATAATATTTTAAGCATATGATAATTGGGATTATTTTAGATGGGGATTTAAAGCAGAATCTTTCAATTAAATCAGTCAGAACTTGAGTTTAAATTGGGGTAAATTTCATGGACATTTATTGACAAACAACACGTAGCAGATTCGTCCAGCAAAAATATATGATAATCTTCCAATTTGATTACATTACAAATAAAAGTAAATACAACAAAAACAATTATATCAGCTTTGCGTGTGTGCTTATTAATTTGTTCTTATCTGGTTTAGATAAATATTATGCTAAGAGGATTTTGGCGTGTTTTCCTTTCCAGTTTCCCCAATATCAAAGACATTTTTGTTTTGTTTTGTTTTGCTTGAAAGTTACAACAGATCCCTGGATAACGCAGCGCCAGCTCTCCAAACAARACACAAAATCAATATTAGATCATTAAACTGAGCAGTTTACCGTGACTTATGTGGAGTTTTCTCATCCACGGGTAGATCTGAGGTTGCGTGGAGTCGTTSGCGCTCTGAGGGGTGGCTGTCGATGCGCTTCCCGCAGGTTTTTCCTCCTCCAGGGGGGAGGCTTTGCTGGACACACAGTCCCGGCTGAGCAGCAGCGTGCCTCCTCCTCCTCCTCCACCTCCTCCTCCTCCGTTTGAGCCGGAGCACGGCGCCGGGACGGAGTTCTTCACGGCTCTGTGTTGAGGCTGCGTCTCGGCGACCGGCGACGAGCTGCTGGCCACCGAGGCGCAGGGGAGCGGAGGCTCGGGAGGGGGCGACAGGGACGAGTTGATGCCGCCGCCGCTGCCGCCGGCGGGCTGGTTGTAGCTGACCGGGTCCACGGAGGCGGGGGTGGCCGCCGCTGAGTGGCTCGGGGAGTAGCCCGGCGTCCGCTCAAAGTGTCCGCTGCCGGTCCGACCGACTGTCAGGTCCATGCCGTTGTAGCCATAGCCGTACCTGCCGGAGTGCATGGCGGTCGAGTCCCTGTATTGCTCGTTTCCCGAACTATGGTCTCCATAATTATGTAACTGAAAGTCCGCGCCGTTGGGATAGCGACCGCAGAATGAGTTCACAAAATAGGAGCTCATTTGTTGACACTTCCGCCGCTTTTGCTGGTTGCAGGTTGTTGTTGTTGTTTTTTGTTGCTTTAGGACGTAAACAGCATAAAAACCCGCGCGCTTGATTTGTGGCTCTTATGGTTTAGCGCGTCCTATAGCGCCCTGTGCACAATTTATGATGAATTATGGAAATGAGTGGGACATGGACTTGATTCTCTCTTACGTAGGCACCCAAATATGGGGTACGAGGCGGAATCACGTGCTTTTGTTGACCAGTCGTAAATCCTGCCTGGTGACCTCCAGAGGTAAACTCGTGCGCGCAGGAAATGCTGGATGGGATGGGGAGGAGGAGGGCGGGGG